AGCTTTTTGGTTTTTTGTGCATTTGTTTAAAAACAAGGTAAATAGCTGATTAATGATACTTAGAGCTGAAAATCATAACAACTCATTAAGTTTCCCCTTAGATGATCTATTGTTATGCCTTCCTTAAACTTAACATATTCAGCCATTAATTTCACTCTAAGGATGCTTCACTGAATCTGTAACAAAAAGATCAGGATGGAAGCACTGTAAATTTTCTTATTGAGAGTATTTTATGGAAAACCATTTGAATTTATTATTACTCAGTTAAGATGGGTTTTCATTTTTACTTCAAGTCAATCTTGTATTCTTTTTCAGTAGTTATTCAAATAACTTGCTCTGATCACAGATAACACTAATTATGAAATGAATTTATTAACATATCTGCAGTTATGTTGATACCAGTGATTACCCACATGGCTGATGCCTTGGGTGTGTCAGTGGTTCAACCCTTCATGTACCTTGTAGGCAGAGTTGCTAAAGGATGGAGAATTAGGGACAATTTATTGTCATTCACCATTTTAAAGCAGCAATAGCAAGTCGAACAGTTTACTTGAATCAGGTTTGGCCATTTCTCTCCTTACAGAGTTATTCACAAACTTTATAAAGCTACATAATATGAGGTCAATTTAAAAAATATTCCTAAATAAGTGTACAGAACCTTTTAAGATAGCTGTATAACTTTAGAAGTAAATGCGGATAAAGAAAAATGTGAGCATTGTTTTAGAAATGCTGGTCTTTTAAAATGGTTTACGCCTTTAATCCCAGCACTTGGGAGGCAGAGGCAGGCAGATCTTTGGGAGGCAGAGGCCTGCCTGGTCCACATAGCAAGTTCCAGGACAGCTGGGGCTACAGGGAGACCCTGTCTCAATAAGACCCCCCCACCCCAAAAAGTTTCATGTTGCCCTTACTTAGAGGAACTAACACATAGAAATAAGAGTGGGTAGATGCTAGGTGGTGGGTGGTAACTATGAGACAGATGAGATAATGTGTTTTCTTTTGTAGGTACAGTTCTTAGTGCCTTATTTAACCCATTTAATCCCTGGTTCTCAAAGCAGATGTTACTATTACACTAGTTTATAGATGAGGAAACGGAGACAGAAAAGTGATGTTGCTTGCCTTGCTTTGCACAGTAAACAGGGCTCATTTACACCCTGTTAACTCTTCTGTTAACTTGACATTTCACAGGAAAAGGCTGGGTCTAGCCAAAATGTGAGATTTGGGAACTGAAGCAGTCTGTTTGATGAGTTGCTTTATTTTCTTCTCTTCCCGGCAATTACACAGTATTTACATGGCGCAAGTAGGACAAAGAAGGGTTTCTCAAATTGAAATGGTCAGATACCGGCTTTTACATTCTAGCTTCATTTCATTTCTGACAGGAGACAGAGGTTCCTGAGTTCTGATTTTGTTTACCTTTATAATTCAGAGCCTGTGTGCCTTTCGTAATACTTGGGAATCTTCTGCTAAAATGAGCAGAAGAATTTGATGTTCCCTGATCATTTTCTCTTTTCAAGAAAGAAAAGAGATTGCTATGAAAATAAAGTAGAATGTAGATGTTGGAGTCTATGTCTGTTTTATAGTATAGCAGTTCTAGGATATTTGGAGAAGTGTTTGATTTCAAATTTGGGGAAATATAAGATGAG